GGTTGAACTAGATGGTCTAGTGTCTTTTTCAACCTGTGTAACTATGATAGTGGTTGCCCATCTATAAGACTAGGCTTTAGGTTTTTTAAGTATCCCCTGGAGCATTTGTTATATACCAGCTGATGCTGCTTATAGAACCACTTTCTTTGATAAGGTGACAACACTCTTCCTTCTGCAGTGAAATCACCACAGTATTGTCACCCTTGCTACTGCTGTAGCTCCTACAATGAAAGCACCATCAAAAAGCCCTACCAGAGAATAGACTGGGCAAAATTATGTCAGAGCCAATTCTGCAACAGATTTATATACACCTTACTGACAGTCAGCTGTATATAAATCTGTTGCAACGTGAGGAATTAGTTGGACAGGTGGATGACAGATTTCTGATGAGTGCCCACAACATGCTTTAAGAATTCCAGGGATTATTTTCAAGGGTGTCAGGTAGTAGACAACAAATTAGCCATTTCACACTGCAGGAGTGGAAGGTATACGTGTTAATTAGCTTAGTGTCCATGTCTCTATAAAGGGTCCACCAACCCCCATATACTCACCTTATGTGTACTCCCTTGCTGATCCCTTGTCTTAAGCAGCAATGATGGGCAACCTGGGCATTGATGACATCATTCCCCTGGTCATGTGACAGTGTTTGGGCCTAGTGATGGACTGCCAGGCTACGCAGTGTCACGGTGAAGAAAGTCACATGCTTCCCCATACCCAGAAGTATCAAGTATTCCTACTGTAGAGGAGGAAAGAGCTGCAAGGGAGCAAAGGTAAAGAGAGCATATGGGGGCCGGAGTGGCCCTTTGCCTTTGGCATGGGTAAGGTGACAGTGTCTGCTTGAAGCCCAACCCCAGCCAAAACCTATTTTGTTATGAACAGAACAGGGATGGGTTTGAATCTTTGCCACATTTTTATTGCTGTCTGTCACTCTATTAGAGCGATTTCCATGTTCTTTTAATCCCTGTGACATCAGGACAAGAAATGAGGGGAACAGAGGTCACTGTTTAAATGAGTAAAGATAGAATATCCCTCAAAAGAGACCCAGACAATTAAACCTGACAGACATTCTAATCGCCCCACCCAAAAGGAAAGGCGCTAGAGTTTGATATACCATTCTGTATCCTGACAGGTTCGTTATAAACAGAGTAAAACAAGACATTTGAGAGTGAGTGTAAGATTTGCTAGTTAAAAGAGAACAACTCATGAAGCAGATAATCCTAATAAACAATCAGTAGTCCCAGCACTGTGATCGGTTGTTGGCTGAAAATCCTCATTCATTACACGGCATAATCCTGGCCCATTTGTGGCTGAAGATAAGACAAAATGAAATGTCCAAAATAAGCTGACAGCGGGGCACTATTAATGCTACGTGTGCACAACAGAGCTCAGGGGGATCTGCCACGGCCAGACATGCTCTCAGAGACACATTCCAGGAATATTACAGCTCGTCTGCTGCCCTCTACACACGTCAAAAGAGAATATGCAATTCTATATCGCAGACATCAACACAGCTGAAAGTGATGGGATAGCCACATGGTCTGTAGTGGTTTCCAAATAGTGGGTAATATTTACACTACATCACAGAGGAAAGAAAGAATGTCTACACTGCTCACTGCAATCAGCGTCATATAGTACAGGTATTTTTGGAGAGTGCCAATAATTTACACAGCATTTCACCTTCTGTGCATTCACATCAGTCCCTGCTTGGCCCTGTGCTAATCACATGTACCCTCCCAAAAAAAATAAAAACCTATCTAGCAATACACATTAAACTGAGCATGTGCAGAGCAGGGGCAGACTGACAACTCATGGGGCCCCTGGGCAATAGGGGATCATGGGGATCTGTGTCCTTGCCCAAATTCAAAAAAGCCTATGAAAAAGGTACCAGGGGCATCTCATGGGGCCCCCTACTGACCCCGGGCCCTCAGGCAGTGCCCGAGTTTCCAAATGGTCAGTCCGCCCCTGGTGCAGAGCGACTCCTGGAGCTTTGTACTATCAGCAGATGGATTGGGGATAGTAGAAGTGGGGGATCAGAGAAGACAGGATCAAACAGCCTTTTTACACAATGCGTATAAGGTTCCACAGTGAGTATAACAAGCATGCATTACTGCATATACAGACTGATTTTACTGTCGTGGGTTTAGTAACACTTTAAATGTACATTTGCAGATTATAAAGATTCAAAAATATACTTTAAAATATATGCGTCCTTTCCACCAGTTTTCAGAAAGCAAACCAAACAGGCAACAGCTCCTATTTTTCTCCAGGTGTCATAAGGAACACCATGTGCTCTCCATAGCTGTTTGGTTATATGAGTAGTTATGTCACCTTCTGTAGTTAGGAGTCCACCTTGGACTACGTATCTACACAGTTTAAAAGTTACATGGGGTTACATTAAGGGTGGAACATGTAACATGTTCCAGCAGCTGCACTCTCTCCCCCTCCCAGTGACAGTGAGCGGGGGACCTTCTCCCTGTGTCTGCTGCCACCTTTTGAAAATAATGCGGCCGGGCAGGGCTCTGTCCAGACTGTCACCTCATTCATTCACAACTTCCTGTGAATGCACAAACTACAACTACCATTAGCCTTTGTAGTTCTGATTGGACTGAGAGGTCGCTGATGAGCAGCCATGTAGTTCATTCACAAGCCCTTCAGCTTGTAAACAGTCAGCCCATATGAATATAGTCTGGCATTGCACCCCAATCCACTGATCAAGGGTGCAATGCTTTGCATGCTCCTTAGGGAAAAATATTATTTGTTCCCAAAAGATGAACTTACTCTTTAATGTTAGCCATACACTAGTGGAATTTTCTTTGAAATTTTACTTTTTAACCACTTGCCTACCAGGCACTTATACCCCCTTCCTGACCAGACCAATTTTCAGCTTTCAGCAATGTCGCACTTTGAATGACACTTTGTCATGCAACACTGTACCCAGATGAAATTTTTATCAATTTTTTTCACACAAATAGAGCTTTATTTTGGTGGTATGTACTCGCCGCTGGGTGTTTTATATTTTGCGCTATAAAAAAAAATAGTCAAAAATTAGAAAAAAAAGTTTTCTTTGTTTCTATTATAAAATTTTGCATACAGGTAATTTTTCTCATTCACTGATGTGCGTTGATGAGGCTGCACTGATGGGCACTAGTAGGGTGGCACGGATAGGCAGCACTGATGGGCACTGATAGGCGGCATTGATGAGCTGGCACTGATCATGCTGCACTGAGGGGCAGCACTGCTAGGAATTGCTAGGCACAGGTGGGTGGCACTGCTAGGCACAGGTGGGTGGCACTGCTAGGCACAGGTGGGTGGCACTGTAGGGCACAGGTGGGCAGCACTGATGGGCACTGATCAACAAGGCACTAATCATCAGTGCCGATCACTTCTCTGTCAATTACTGGTTATCGGCAGTACTTTTCTCATGCTGTGATAGCGTGAGGAAAGTGCAGCCGATAACCGGCAATTGTATTTTCCTGGTGATCTGCTGTGTCATTGGACATAGCTGATCACGTGGTAAAAGGCCGCTGTGATTGGCCGTTTACCCTATCACGTAGGGCAAACGGCCGTAAGATACAGCGATCACACAGCGCTGGGGGTGCGTTCTGGAATGACATCCATGGATGTCGTCCCAGAACTAGACAACTGCGCTGTAGCCGTCTTTCGACTATAGCGCAGTCTGGAAGAAATTAAAAATGTATGATTTTCTAATAGTTCATGCAATCAAATTGATGTTCATTTTTTACCTCAATGACAAGAAAATTAGGAGTAGGAAGAAAATTTTTTCGCAAAAGGAACCCCAGATAATCACACTAAAATATAAATATCAGATAATGCACCACAGAGTTATGTGACGCCCTCTTGGAGTTTAATAACCTGTATAAACATGCAGCATTATGCAAGTTTGAGTGGTTGTAACAGCAAATTTTTTAAATTAAATAATAAATATTTTGTACTTGCCTTAAACATTTTCCACTTACCTGCTGTGTGCTTTGGGGCACATTTGCAGGTACTCTCCTGAGCTTGGCTGTGTACGTCCATAGACACACACAGCGCAGCTTGGGCCACCCACCCCTATGCTCCCCCCTCACAGAATTTGACTAACAGCAGCAGCCTCAGCAGCCAATAACTCTTGGTGCTATGAGTTCAGCCTGTGAGAGCAGGGAGAGGGGAGAGAAGAACTGCAGCAGGGCACAGCTCTGGATTGATAGAGGACTCAGATAAATGTTTAGGGAGGATAGATTGGGAGGCGCAGCAAGTGCTAAAATATTTTTTACCTTAGTACAGGGAATGCATTAAGGTAAAAAATATTTCAACTTTGGAACCACTCTAAGGTTTATTAAGATCCTAATACGTTATTATGGTAGCGCAACGGATCAAATTCAAAATCCTAACACTGACGTACAAAGCTGTCCACCATACTGCCCCGTGCTACATCACTGACCTAATATCCAAGTACCGCCCAACACGCACACTCCGCTCCTCACAAGACCTCCTTCTCTCTAGTTCCCTGGTCTCCTCCTCCCATGCCCGCCTCCAGGACTTCTCCAGGGTGTCACCCATCCTCTGGAACTCCCTGCCCCAACCCATCAGATTATCACCTACTATCCTCTCCTTTAGGCGCACCCTGAAAACCCATCTCTTCAGGGAAGCCTACCCCACCCCCTACTAACCTGCCGACCTCCTCCACTTTTCCTACCACTCCATCCCCCACAGCTATCTCCTCCTGTGCCACCATCCCCTCCCTCCTAGATTGTAAGCTCCAAAGAGCAGGGCCCTCAATGCCCTCATGTTTTGCATTGTATTGGTATTGTTCTGTCACATGTTCTGTCCCCCTTTGTAATGTACAGCGCTGAGCGAACTATTGGCACTTTATAAATACTGTATAATAATAATAATTATTGTCCTTCATGTACAAAAGCAACAGGAATTCTGTTACTCCCATCATATTTAGTGGATTCCCATTGTCCTGTATCCTCTCTCTCCCTCCATTGAACTCACCTGTTGAACTGGAACCGCTGGTGAGTGAGGAAGCTGCTGGTGTACTCCAGACCGGAGAAGAAGAAGAGATACAGGAAGTAGACCAGACCCAACATTTGGAGGTTCTGCACATCTGCACACAGATAATTCATGTGTTACTTACATAGGCTTCAGAAGGTTCTTACGTATTAATAAACGTGGAGGTAATGAAGGTACAACACTCAAACAAAAGTATGAAAAAAGGAAATCGATTTCAACTGTCTTTATTCTCGTTCATGTTAGGAAATGAAGTGGTACGATACGGAAGCACTATATCCTTTGGAACACTTTTTATATGCAAGTCCTATTGTCTGGTTCTATTAAAAAAAGCATTGTATCCCCATTTCTAGAGCCCACACCATGTACAAAGGACATAGAGATGAGCAGATGAGTGTGGTTACCTGCTACCATGCTTGCTTGATTGTATGTAATAACTGGTGACTACTGGAGGAAATTGTTATCATACCTGATGGTCATAGACTAGACCATAAAATGCAAAATAAAATGCAAAAATCAGCATGTAACTTCATATCCTTAGGACATCCTTATAGCCAGTCTTCACGTTCACTGAAAATGCAGTGCAATACACCACACCTTTCAAATATCTCTCTCATCTCTTTCTTAAGCTCCCCATACACATTACAATCTGATTATACAATCTCTATCAGATCTAATAACAAGTGTGTAGTGCAAGGGCCTGCCTAACTGGATATGAATTGATTGGATAATTTAGGGACATTCCTCATATTACATACATACAGTTTTGATAGATCTAAGGTTGACTGAATAGAGATCGCACAGTCCGATTGTTGCATGTAACATGTTTGTAACCTTAAAGCCAGCCATACATGGATCAAAATTCGGATGGTTCAGCGGAGACCAGCCAAATTTCAATCCAAGCATGGGCACCCTGGTTGTATCATTTGATGGACTTGTGTACAAATTGCCTTTTGGGTTTTTCCTGAGCGTTTAGCGCCGCCAGTTCATTGTGTGAACATATCACTGTGGGAGGGATTTCCCCATCAACACTGCCTGTTGGGGAAGGGAGCAAATTCCTTTCCTACAACCAGTGGTGGCATTTTTTGCATGATCTATGGACTGATTTAGCTTTTTACATTGGCTTCTATTATTATAAACAAAATTACCAAACGTCTGCCTTCAGTTTTATTTTTTATTAAACCACAGATAAAAGTATGTTGTCCATCAAGATTCTGCAAATTGTACAGACACACTTCTCTTCATTCTTAGCCAATACCTGAATGTTGTGGGCACACCTTATCGTGGAATGTTTGAAGGATTTTTAAAAATGAACCTTACAGTATCACTTGTTATTGGTTCAATTCACCTAGTGCCTTAGTTGTGGAAAGGGTGAAGGGGTGCACAAACCCCCTACTTTCTAAACAGTTGCAGTCTAATTGTTTTCCAGTATATGTACTGACTCTCCTCTGAAATGTATCATCTGATGTAGTTGAAATGACTTAATTCTGACTGTTGATCCTGACAACTATTTGTACTTTTATAAGCCAAACTACAATAAAAACAGTGAAACAGAAAACTTAACCTTATAATAAAGTTATTCTTGAAAATGAAGGCGGGAGGTTATGGACAACAGAGGTAAACAGAAGAGTCTTTATAGCCAACAGTTCAAGGTCAACTTTTACTAAATATTAATACAAATATGCTCAGTGATAATCAATAAAATAACTTTTCTTATGTAATAATCTCCAAAAAATCCAAAATCTGTAATTATTCAAATAAAGTCCAATTTTAAATTAAAGTCCAATAAACAAATACGTGTAGTCCAAAAATTGATTCAAGTGTAACAAACTCTCCGCTGCTTGCAAAACCTTGATTACCTCAAAAAAACAAAAAAATATACATAGTGCATTATCCTTTATAAATAAAAATTAACATATAAAATCAATCCAATAATATTCACCCAAGTGAAAACACGTGTATATATCAAAACCCCATACACATGTGATATACTGTGCAAAACCATGCATGTGAAACACTCTGCTGTGCTAAAAACTCATAACACAGTGCACACTTCTATCAGGGTAAGGAATGAATACCCTTACCAATGTTCAAAGCAATTTATGTTTTTGATCTTAATCCACAGAAAATTTGTCTGGTGATATAAATCCTTTTATAGATGTCCTCAGGGTTTGCTTTGTATGGATCCTTCCACCCTAGCAACTGAGAAATGCTTCCACCATATACGTCAGCCAGATACCCATATACAAGGAACAAATCATAGCGTAATACTGCCACATACTCAGATCAAAAGCTTTTAATTATCCTGCTTACATTAAAAACATCTTTAATCGCACATAGCATATAAAGACCTGTCTGCCATCCGGAATCCAGGAGAGTCCTAATCGCAACTCACAGCCGAGATTTTGCCCTCTCCAAGATGGCCGCCACTCTACTTCCGGTATTCTCGTATGCGTCTGACGTCACCTCCCTTTGACGCGTTTCGTCATTGGACGTAATCATAAATGGTACCCTTTATGATTACGTCCAATGACGAAACGCGTCATTGGACGTAATCATTGGACGTACCCTTTATGATTACGTCCAATGACGAAACGCGTCAAAGGGAGGTGACGTCAGACGCATACGAGAATACCGGAAGTAGAGTGGCGGCCATCTTGGAGAGGGCAAAATCTCGGCTGTGAGTTGCGATTAGGACTCTCCTGGATTCCGGATGGCAGACAGGTCTTTATATGCTATGTGCGATTAAAGATGTTTTTAATGTAAGCAGGATAATTAAAAGCTTTTGATCTGAGTATGTGGCAGTATTACGCTATGATTTGTTCCTTGTATATGGGTATCTGGCTGACGTATATGGTGGAAGCATTTCTCAGTTGCTAGGGTGGAAGGATCCATACAAAGCAAACCCTGAGGACATCTATAAAAGGATTTATATCACCAGACAAATTTTCTGTGGATTAAGATCAAAAACATAAATTGCTTTGAACATTGGTAAGGGTATTCATTCCTTACCCTGATAGAAGTGTGCACTGTGTTATGAGTTTTTAGCACAGCAGAGTGTTTCACATGCATGGTTTTGCACAGTATATCACATGTGTATGTGGTTTTGATATATACACGTGTTTTCACTTGGGTGAATATTATTGGATTGATTTTATATGTTAATTTTTTTTTATAAAGGATAATGCACTATGTATATTTTTTTGTTTTTTTGAGGTAATCAAGGTTTTGCAAGCAGCGGAGAGTTTGTTACACTTGAATCAATTTTTGGACTACACGTATTTGTTTATTGGACTTTAATTTAAAATTGGACTTGAATAATTACAGATTTTGGATTTTTTGGAGATTATTACATAAGAAAAGTTATTTTATTGATTATCACTGAGCATATTTGTATTTATATTTGTACACCTCTAAGGGTAGAGGTGAAGCGTGCTTATAAATAGTTGGGAAAATTAGTGATTTACATATATTTTACTAAATATTCTTTGTGTTTCAGATAGCATGAGGAAAGCTGGGTAAACATATAAAAATGTGGCTGGTTTAGCAAGGACTGGGACTGGGGTCTGAAATGACTGTCTGGTAGACGAGGGACCAGCAGCCAAAGCCCCTGTTCCCTTAACAGAAGAGGGCTTGGATTTCCTTTTAAAGAGCTCTTTCCCCCTGAAATCCTCCCCAAACAGTCATTCCCCATGAAATAAAAAACAACTTTTTGCACGGCAGTTCTGCTGACCAACTCTTCAGCCACAAAATCCTATCCATGTGAACTGATAAGAGGGCCATGTAAGAAATTTGCTGAATAGAATCCTTAAGAGTATCAACCGCAAAACATAAAGCATGTGGAACATTCTCCAAATACCCAACCAAATATTCTCCCTGCACCGATGGTCTTCCCAGCGACCATTTGACATGGTCAGAAAGACACTAGCGAATACCAATAGCTGCCACCGCTGGCTGTGTGACTGAACCTGCCAGGGAGAAGGAGGCCTAAAGCATACATAATTTGTTCCAAAAGAGGATGCACCGGAAAAGCTTGAGGCCTTAAAGAGCCCAGAGAAGAATACGTAACCTCAGAGGATTCTATGGGGAGTAACCTGAATTCTGAAGGGACTACATCAGTAAGGTCCTGAACTAATAACCTTTGAGACTGAAAAGCAGAAACCGTCTGTTTCTCCTCAGGCTGCGACCCCTCATACAATGACTCTATTGCCTGACCCTCTTCCAGTTCTTCTACCGCCCATTCATCCTTTGGTTCTACCCACTCCTGGTCCAAGACCCAGTGGGTCCAGTGAACAGGATCTCGCTTGTTTCTTATTCAACTGAGAAACAGATGCAATCATTCCTTCAATCTTATCCTCTAAACCTGCTAAGGCTGAAGCAAGATCCTTCTTGGTTACATACGCCGAAGCAGAAGCACCAGTAGTAGCCACAATGCCAGACAAACATAGTGGCTCAGATTGCCCAGAGGCTCCTGGCCTTCCAGAAGAGGTTAACACAGCGGACCTACGACTAGTGGTGCACATGTGCCTCCCCCACCCCACTTACTGGAAGACATCACTTCCTACAGCACTTAATCTGAATGCAATACAGAGAGAAAAACACTGAGTATCTAGGATACAGCTATGCAAGGTAGTGTGACCCTCATACACTCACTGCAACTGCTGACTTCCATGGACCATCAGAGGCAGCCTCCTGTCTGAACTGGCTAATGTTTGCCCCCCAGTGGAGTATTCATGTGCCCCACAGAATAGCCTGCTCTGTGTCCCGGCCACCCCCAGCTGCAGCAGATGCACATGTGCTCAGGAACGCCGGATTCATAAATAAATACGGCCAACTTCCGCTTAAAGTTTTTAGGTATGCTCCAGGAGCACAGGCAACACTTTCCGTGGAGTGTAAATCTTCTCAAAGGTGTGAGAGATAGCAATAAATAACCATTGCCTGCTCTATTCAACAGGAGGAATTAAATAATAATAAAAAACAATAAATGCTATCAGGAAGCTAGCCAGGATATTGGCAAATTATTATTATTATACAGGATTTATATAGCGCCAATAGTTTGCTCAGCGCTGTACATTATAATGGGAGACAGTACACGAG